GGGGAAGCCTCGTAACTCATGGCGCAGAGACATGGAGGCAGATGTTAAGAAGATGGGCCGCACATGGAAAGAACTGGAGACGCTGGCTCAGGACCGCTCTGCCTGGAGGAACCTGGTTGACGGCCCATGTCCCAGGAGGGGCGATAGGCGTAAATAAATAAATAATTATGTAAATCTGCCTCGGGAAAATCTGCAAGCAAAGTTTAAATTTAATAACGCGGAGTATGCACAATTGTTCGTCTTGTGTTCCCCAATGCATTTAAAAATCCTTTTGGATTTGGGGGACTTTGTGTGACTGACAGTGGTGTTTGTAAACATTAGTCGAACTGTAGTAGTGTGTAAATCTGCCACAACGTGGAGTTGCCATCGTCTCTTGTTTACCAACTCATTTAAGTTTGTGTTCTTGACTGAAGTGATTTCCATTTACTTCGTCTGTTATAAATCAACTGTATTAGCTTCCTTTGAACGTCCTATTGCCATTGGGATTATGTCTACTACACACGGCGGTGTAGTGCATATCGATCTTCTTGTATGAAACGCACCCGAACCTGGAAATCAACGGCAAATCGGGATGGTCTCGTCACGTAATTTCTTACTTTGTTCTGGACCGCAGTACGCTTGGCTATGAACTTCCACATACCCACGCTAATGGGAATAGTGCATCGTGGGTAATACTGTATTGATCAAGGTGAAACAAACATGGCTGCCGTAACGCCTGTCATTCGACTACACTGCTCGTGTTTCTCTTCCTTCTCTTCCTTTCTCTTCCTCTGTTTTTTTTATTTTTTTTATTTCAATTATACAGCGATTTGGCTGTGGCCATGCATTAAGTCATTGTCAACTGTTTTTTTTTCGAATTGGTTGATTGTCATAGTAACATACGCTAAGTACAATTAAATGTCCCGAGTTGAACAGTGGTCATTTCTAAGGTTCAATTTAAACAAACATGATTATTTAATTCCTTCAGTTAAAAATTGAGTTTTCAAAATAAATAAATAATAACACGTACGCTCATGTATACTTCAAGTTTTCATTGAAACAAAGTCAAAATCTTTGAAATTGCTTTTCTGTCTGTTCACCAATCCATTGCTCCAAAAACACATCTCAAACTCTTATTTTGCCAGCATCGAGATGGCTCTGCCACTTGTTTAAAATGAAGTTGGTGAAACATTTTCAGGGCAACCCAACTTCTCCAAAATAAGATAAGCAGTACCAAAAAAATAGTATGAGAAAAAGATTGAGCGAGTGTATTTGTCATTATTTTTATTGCAAATTACAACTGGCATGAATGAACTAATACATTGTTTACATAACTTTAGAAGCTCTGTGGTTGGTACATGTTGTGCTGCCACCTGCTGCGTTCTCTTCTTGAAGTGGTAGTTTCTTTTTTGTTTCCAATTTTGCAATTCAGTTACTAGAATTCGTACTCCTATAATTTGTTCATTCAAAATATACCTCTGATAATTCGACCACTCAAAAAAATAATTTCTGTTTTTGCCTTGCTCCTAGTGTAGTGTGAACGAAGGGGAAGGTATAAGTATGGGGAAGATTTTGGTGTCGTTGTTGTTGTTGGCATGACTTGTGGGTGTGATAACTCAAGTAATTCTTACATGATCGGTTACAAATTTATATATGGTATAAACAAACATGCAACAATGGCCAAGTTCGATGTTGGTGCATTTTGCTTGCATAATTAATGAGAGACAGCTACTGATTGGTTATCTCTTGTAGGTGTGATAATTCAAGTAATTTTTACCCGATCAGTTTCAAATTTATATATGTTATAAACAAACATGCAACGATGGCCAAGTTCGATGTTGGTGCATTTTGCTTGCATAATTAATGAGAGACAGCTACTGATTGGTTATCTCTTGTAGGTGTGATAATTCAAGTAATTTTTACCCGATCAGTTTCAAATTTATATATGTTATAAACAAACATGCAACGATGGCCAAGTTCGATGTTGGTGCATTTTGCTTGCATAATTAATGAGAGACGGCTACTGATTGGTTATCTCTTGTGGACGTGATAACTCAAGTAATTTTTACCCGATCGATTTCAAATTTATATATGTTATATACAAAGGTATAAGGATAACCAATTTTATTATTGGTTCACTTTACATGCATATTAATGAGATATGGAGTAATTATTTTTTCAGTTAAAGCGTAATTGTTGTGACAGTTTTTAGCTCCGCTGTCGACTTTGTCGAGCGGAGCTTATCATATGAGTGATTGTCCGTCGTCGTCCGTCGTCGTCGTCCGTGTCAATGTTTTACTTTTTCGACTTCTTCTTGAAAACTACAAGCCTGAATGCTTTGATACTCGGTGTATATGTACCTTGGGTAGACCTCTCTTAGGTTTGTTCATTTCATGTTGATATCTTCAATTCTCTAATTTTGGTGAATATTTTTGTCATTTTTGGTAAAAAGTGATATTTTCGACTTCTTGTTAAAAACTGCAAGTGCAATTGCTTTGATATTACATATATAGGTACTACATGTCGACCTCTCTCAGATTTGTTCAGTTCGTGATGATATCTTGGATTCTATAATTTTGGTGAATATTTTTGTCATATTTGGTAAAAAGTGATATTTTCGACTTCTTGTTAAAAACCAAAAGTTCAATTGCTTTGATATTACATATATAGATACTACATGTAGACCTGTCTCAGATTTGTTCATTTCGTGATGATATCTTCAATTCTCTAATTTTGGTGAATATTTTGGTCATTTTTGGTAGAAAGTGATATTTTCGACTTCTTGTTAAAAACTGTAAGTCCGATTGCTTTGATACCATACATATTGTTCATTTTCTGATGATGTCTTCAGTTCTTTAATTGAAATGTGCATTTCTAACAGCGGAGCTATCTCAGCCGATAGGCTGCTTGTTTTTAGTTAAGGTAAAGTAATTTTAATGTTTTGAAATTCAATCCTACTAATCTGTATCAGGATTTAACATTAAAAGTACAGAATTATTTAATCCTCTTGTGGAAAATTATGCCCATGAGCTTCTTGTGAATATATTTGACATATTAGAACAATATGACGTAAATAGTAATAATATGCCAGTACATACTTTACAAAGTATATTTATGGGTATCTATAATAACACATATAAATCAAAACACTATGCATATCAGAATGTCAGACTGTTTACTGTTTTACAATTTCCTATCACATATTCTAGTAATAGTGAACCATTTTGTATTTCATATTATCTTAATGATTATTTTAGCTATTCTGGAGTAAAATACAATCAACAAATCGATGGAAGCAGAACATCACAAAATCAACCCCCTCCCCTGCCCAAATGTATATCTTAGCGTGATCATTGGTAGTAAGAAATGAAAATTATGTTATAAAATTTCACTATTTCAAGAATTTAGTCAATTCTTGGTCTCAACTTAACCAATTGTATCAGCTATTTCCTTCGGACAAGGTTTCAATAGTTTTCCTATGTTTTTTTCTAATGATTCGGCCACTCCCAAAAACAATTATTTTGTAATGGTCGAACTAATAGAAGGATTACGGTATGTTTTCTTCATGAATGAGCCAGATAGAAGTAGTACAGTAACCATAGTGATATCATGATTCATTACAGATGAGATGATAGAAAGTGAAGCATTAGTTGGTGTACCGATTTTAGTACTTGCCAACAAACAAGATATACAAGTAAGTTAACAATGGGTCTTTTTGTATAACATTACATTGACGTAACAGTTAATCAAACTAAACATAGTGGTAGATACCATGGAATAGACCTAAACAAGTACATGAATTAAACATAGTGGTAGACATT